CTTTCTCAGATAAATCACCTATCTCCTCTCCCTTATGTCTTCTTCTGGGATTTTATCTTGTGCCTTGGCCTGGGAGCTATTCCTTTACCGCCTCATATTGTCTATCTTTCTATGTGTTGTGGATTCCTTCCACAGGCTTTGGGATTATTGTTTTCTTATTTCTACTATCTGCCCCTGGTGGATGGGGCTGGACTAGAGGCTTATGCAGGTTTCCTGGCAGGAGGAGCCAGTGCCTGCCCACTGCTGGGTGAAGCTTGATCCTGGACCTCTGGTGGGTAGGGCTGTGTCTAGAGGCCTTTGTGGCTTAAGAAGTCTGATGATGGGTGTGGCTGTGCTCCCACCCTGTATATTGTTTCCCTACAGGCTGTTGGGTGGGGCTAGGTCTTGGTGCTAATGATCCAATCAAGATGTCAGCCTCCAGGAAAGCTCATGTAGATGAACACTCCCTGAATGTCTGCCACCAGCTTTTATGTCCCCTGAGTGAGCCGTAGCCGTCCCCCATGTCCCCAGGAGACCCTCCAAATCCAGCAGGCAAGTCTGGCCCAGGTTCCTATGAAATCGCTGCCTCTGCCCTTGGACCTGGTGCATGTGAGTTTCCGTGTATACTTCTCAAGCGATTGGAGTCTCCATTCCCCTCAGTCCCATGGGGGTCCTGGAGCCAAGCCCCCCTGGCCTTCAAAACCAGATGCCCTGGGTCTCCTTCTCTTCCCAATGCCTGGATCCAAGCTGGGGAGCCTGACATGGGGCTTAGAACTCTTACTCCTGTGGGGGGTGGGCTTTGCAAGTTGACAAATCATCAGCTTGTGGGTCGCCCATCTAGAGGGTATGGGGCCCAATTATATCATGAGCACGCCCCTCCTACCATCCTACTGTGGTTCCCTCTTTGTTTCCAGTTGCAGAAGATCTTTTTTGCTAGGTTCCAGTCTTTCTTCGATGGTTGTTTAGCATTCAGTTGTGGTTTCATTGTAGTCTCTAGGAGAGGTGAGCTTATGGTCCTACCACTCCACCATCTGGACCGGAATTCCATAAGGAAGCAATTTATAATTTAAATCCTTGTACTTAAAAATGTTTATAATCCAGTAGTCTATGAAATCTGCCACTGTACCAAAAAGATAGAGGGCACTTGAATATAATTTGTAAACATCTACTCATATTATTTTCTTTCTGATCATAAAGTGTTTATATACACAAAATGTTAAAATAACCAAAAAAAAAATCCCAGAGTGTCCCCACAACACAGATGGTGCCATATAACTCTGTAATGAAGGGTAATGTTGTAGGATAAAATCTCGGTGGAAGTATTCTTGTTTGTTTTCCCAGGAGGAAGGAATAAATATGAGAACATGTATAACGTTGTTGTAGGACCACATGTACTTTAGTGACTTGGCACAAGGCAGCTGGCTTACAGGTGCTCTGGCAAGTTGTGCCGGGAAGGCGTCTTTGCTTTTGTGTTTCTAATATTGTGTGCATGAAATGATTGTATTTTTTTTTTTGTACTGTGGTAGATACTGCAGGCATTCCCTTTGGGCTGAGCCGTTGGATTTGAATGTTGTTTCTGGAAACAGGTGACAATCCTATTTTCTTCCTTAAGAGGATCCTTTGTCATGCCGGGGATTGTTAGCTGGAGCAGCTCCCTTTGCCTTTCCGTTAGAATTGAGGAGAGGAAACTTAAAGACAAAATGGACCAAAAAATTATCTTAGGAAAACTTCAGGAATGCAGCTCTGGTAAGATCATTCAGGCCAAGGCAAGCGGGTCACAAAAGATTAGCAAAAACTTTTATAAACAAAGAGGCAATTATGAACATTCTTAATAGCTTTTAATCCAGAAATGTCCCAGTGTTTGTTTTTGAATCTGATGTACACCGTTTTTGCAGGTGGCACGCAATCAGCTGCAGCCAAGAGGATGGTCCTGGAGTGATACAGCCCAATGTGAACCACTGGCATTGAGGAGAAGGCATTTGCCTTACCTAGATGCCTGGCTGCTCTGTTGGAAATGTATCTGCTTGGAACCTGGCCATCTAAGGGCTGCTCTTCTAGCACATGAAATAAAGAGAGGAGGGAGAAAAAATAGCCACCCATACAACTGTGCTGAAATAAGACTGTTCTTCGTTAGATTCTGACCATTCCCCGTGGTGCATTCTCCTTCGATGATGTAAAGTCGTTGGGGTGTGGGAAGCCATACCATGAAGCACAGGAAATAGCTTAAATCTTTGGAAATGTTTTTAAGGTTAAATAAATGGGGAAATAACTCTAGTTAAAGTCGTCAACCACTTCAGAGTAATTTTTACTGGCAGATATTTGTTAATTGCCAGTGTTCCTGTGAAAACATATGCAACCAAGGTGTATGGGTAGAGCTGCCCCCTGGTTACAGGACCTGCTTTCTAAAGAGGCTGTGGTCACTTCACTGGTTTCTCTCAGACTCAGTTCAGACTTAGGTAGCCTTCTGGGAATGAAGCAGTGAATTAGGTACGTCTGACAGACCTGGTGGTGTTACTGGGACTTCTAGATGGATGATGATAAACAGGCGAGATTTTAGAGGGTTTTGGTGAACATCTAGCGTTGCCTTCAGTACCAGCCACAGACACATATCCATGCTGCTTCGATGAAAATGTTGCACCTATTTTGTTAACTGTTCACGTTTGATGACTGCAAGGAAATCACGGGATGATGGTTTTGATGATAACATACGAATTCACATCAGAACAGAAAGTGAAGCTCATTGGCTTAAACTGCTTGAAAAGCTGTACTATTCTGTAAGGCAGAAGTAGCCAACATGGTCACTTGGCCCATAAACAGCAGCCTGTCTGCAATCCTCATGGTGACCAATTATTGATGGTCTAGATCTAGGAAAACCAGGCTCCTTGGCTCCCTTTTCTATTCTGTCTCTTCAGTTTCCTGATGTTTGTCTCCTTGATCTCTAAAGAGTAAAGTAGGGAAGGCAAAGAAGTTAATTTCAAGATACCCTTTTGTTATAGGTCAGAATCTTAGCTGGTCCTCTGTATGTATCCCTATTATGACATGCATCATATACTACTATAACCATACATTAATGTTTCTGTTAGCCCTACTGGTCTATTCTTTCCTTAAGGGCACTGTGTCATGTCAGTTACATGACCAGTAACAAAAGGTCAGTATAATGTTTAAAATATGACCAAGTAATTATGTCAACCCATTACTATGTCCAGGTATGTGTGGACATGTTTTCAGTTTTCTTGGGTATGTACCAAGGAGTGAAATTAGTAGGTCAAATGGTAACTCTATTTTTAACTTTTTGAGGAACTGCCAAACTGCTTTCTAAAGTAGCTTCACTCTTTTGCTGTCTCACAATGCATGAAGGTTCAGTTTTTTCCACATCTTCACCAACACTTGTTATTGTCTGTCTTTTTTATTTTAGCCATCCTAGTGTGTGTGAAATGGCATCTCATTGTGATTTTGATTTTGATCTCTCTGGTGACTAAATGATGTTGTGCATCTTTCCATGTACTTATTAGCCATTTGATTATCTTCTTTGGAGAAATGTCTATTTGTATCTTTTGCCCATTTGAAAAATTGGGTTATTTGTCCTTTTATTTTTTTAGTTGTAAGAGTTTTTTTTATATATTCTGGATACATGTTCCTTATCAGAGATATGATTCTAAAATATTTTCTCCCAATCTATGAGTTTCCTTTTCACTTTTTTAATGGCATCATTGAAGCACAGAATTTTTTCATTTTGATGATAGTCCAGTGTATCTAGGCTTTCCTTTGATTTCTTGTGGCTTAGTTGTCATATCTAAGAAACTATTCACTAAATCAACATTACAAAGGTTTACACCTACATTTTTTTCTAAGACTTGTGTACTATTATCTCTTAGATTTAGGTCTTTTGTTCATTTGGAGTCAAGTTTTGTATTTGGTGTGAGGTAAGGGTCTAACTTCATTCCTTTTCATATCCAAGTATGCTTTTAACATCTAGTGAATATGTCAGCAGAAGTTGAGTGGTGTTTGAAAACATAATAAAACCTCAATAATTCGTACTATACCACACTCAAAACTAATGATAATTTGGCAATTGAGTTTCTGTGTTAGTTATAAAGAAAGGCTTTACTAAGAAAATTATCAATAAAGAGGATATCACAGTGGAATGTTAGTATACTTAGGAAATTCTTTGGAAAACTGTTAACTGCATCCATTCACTCTCAAATGTTATTTATAATATTTATATTTATTTATTAAAAAATTGTTGAACACTTTGGTTTAGTTGGGCTCTTTAAATTGCAAAGAACAAAGATGTTCATCACTAACTTCAGTGAAAAAGGAGTTTACTGCAGTGATCTGCGAAAATATCAGAATCTAAGTCTGGAGCCCACATCCTTAAGAGGGCTCTTTGTTACTCAGTTCAAGTTTGAGAATGAAGGGAGGCCTTTTGGTGCAGTAAGATATGAAAGCTATGAAAGGAAAGAGATTAGCTCCCCATGGCGGGATGTCCTATTTTTCTTTAGATATCTCATCCTGAGATCAGAGCACCTTAATGGCTCTCCTCCTCTCCCCATCGTCAGGAATAAAAGCATTCCCATGCTAGCAATGGAAATGGAGCTCAGAGTGTAAACAGGGCTCATAACCAATCATATTCTTCACTATTATAAAAGAAATAGGACTCTGTTTTTGCTATTTTTCTCTAGTGTTCCTATGTAAAGGCTCACTTTCTCCTTTCCCCTGTTTGCTGAGAAGTTCTTTTAGGGGTCAAAGAATGTTATGGGCTGAATTCTGTATCCTGCTCTCCAAGATTCCTGTGTTGAAGCTCTAACCCTCAATATGACTATATTTGGAGACAGAGCCTTCAGGGATGTAATTAGGTGAAATGAGGTCAGAAGTGTGGAGCCCTAATCTGATAGATTGGTGTCCTTATTAGAATAGAAAAAAACACCAGTGCCCTCTTTCTTTCCTTGTGCACACACAGAGGAGAGACCACGTGAGGACAGAGCAAGAACACAGTCATCCATGAGCAAGAAAGAAAGCTCTCACCAGAGACCAACCCTGACAGCACCTTGATCATGGACTTCTAGTCTCCAGAACTGTAAGAAAAGAAATTGGTGTTGTTTAAGCCACCCAGTAGGATGTAGTATTTGGTTGTGACAGCCCTGGCAGATTAATTCAAAGAGGGAAGGAAGCAAATGTTAATGAGTTCATTCTGACTTATCTCTAACGCTGAACTCAGTTTTATTTTTGTCCTAGTGCTGTGAACTGAGATTATTTAAGCATTTATTTACATGCTTTTGGCAATCCCCTTTTCCCCATTTACCATGTAAACCCCACGAGGAGAGGACTTGCCTATTTTGGTCCCTGCTATACTCCCTGGCACATAGTAAACAGATAATGTATTTACCAAGTGAATGCATAAATGATGTGGTCGTTTTGGTGCACCTTTATGAATGTGAGCATGGGAGATTTTCCCCCAAATATTAATATTTGACCCAGCTGATCATTCTCTTCTTCTCATGGTGCTTTCTACATTTGGCTTTTAGGAGGCCATGGGCCCTTGATTTCCTCTTCTACCTTCAGGGCTGCCCCATCACCATCTCCTTTACTAGCTCCCTTATTTCTAGATGTAAAGATTGGAGCTTCAGGTCTCAGTCCTGTGCCCTCATCTCTTCTGATAGGAGATGCAATATTAAATAGTGACTAAAGCATAGATTCTGGAACTGGATTGCCTGGGTTCAAATTCTGGCTCCACTACTGAAATAGAAGCATGAGTTTAGGCAAGTGAATTAACTTCTCTATGCCTCAGTATCCTTATTTGTGAAATGGGGATGGTAGGTATCTCATGGCATTGTTAAATAAGGGATATGTGTAAAACACTTAGATGGCACCTGGCGTGTAGAATGCACTTAGCAAATATTAGATGTAATAATTTTTATACTAATATCACTTTTTGGTCAACTGTAGTTTCTAGGTGACTTTATCTAATCCCATGGCTCTAATAGCCTTGAACTGCCTCTGAGCTCCAGGCTCATATAGCCATTACACATCCAGCTGTGGCAGGCAGGACTCTAAGGTCACCCCAAGCTTCCTGCCCCCTGGTGTACACACCCTGTGTAATCTCCTCCTCGAGTATGGGTAGATTTCATGACTATGATGTCATATCACTCCTGTTATTAGGACACTAATCGGTTACCTTTGAAGTAATCAAAAAGGAGATTATCTCAAATGGGCCTGACCTAATCAGGGGAGCCTTTAAAAGAAGGTGAAGCATCAACAAGGTGCACTCCTGCTGGCCTGGAAGAAAGTGAACAGCAATGGTGCTGCTCGCCCATGGGAGCCACGTGGCGAGGACTGAGAGCAGGCGCTGGGAGCTGAGAGCAGTCCCTGGCTGACAGCCGGCAAGAAAACGGAGGCCTCGGTCCTACAGCTGCAAGGAAATGGATTCTGCCAACAACCAGTGAGCTTGGAAGAGGATCCCAAGCCTCAGATGAGAATCACAGCCCTGGCCGCCACCTTGATTTCATCCTGGTGAGCCCCTGAGCCAGTGACCCCGCTAACCCGTAACTGGAATTCTGATGTACAGAAACTGAGAGATAATCAATGGGTGTTGTCCTAAGCTGCTAAATATGTGGTACGTTGTAGCACAGCAGTAGGAAATGCATGTACCAACTGCCAAGTTTACTTCTCTTCATCAGTGCGGAGGAAGAATCTCACACTTCACACATCCAAAGAACTCTTGATTTCTTTCCACCCTCCTACATTTTCCTCTTCAGAGTAAGTTGTTCAGGCCTAAAAACTAGAATGATCCTTGATGCCTTTCCTTCCATCATAACCTGCACACAGTTCATTTGCACATCCTATAGGGTGTCTCATCACAATGTAGCCTGCATCGAACAGCTTCTCCTCTCTCCCCTGCAGCCATGTTGGCCCAGGCCACCTCCTCCTTCGACCTGGACCCCCATGACAGCATCTAACTGCTCTCCCTGTTCCAAGCAGTAACTCCATCACTGCAGGCACAGTGAGTATTTTGATATAGATCAAGCCATACCACTCTGGGCGGGATGCATCCGTGACATTTCAGGACCCTTAGAATAAAATCCAGACGCCTTACCATGACCTCAAGGCCCTGCACCATGTGGTCCCTGGCGACTTCTCTGATCATGTTTCCGACCATTGTTTCCCTTGCTGTGCTCCAGCTACACTGGCCTTTCTGCTTTTCCTTTATGATGCCAAGTAAGGTTGTATTCCAGGTCCTGTATAATTGTTTTTCCCTTTTCCTGGAACATTCTGCGTATGTCTTGCTTGACTCCTTCCCTCACTTCATTAAAGTTTACCTCCTAGAATAGCCTTCCCTGATGGCCCAACCTAAAACAGACGACCCCTCCCTCCTCCCATCACGGCCTCTTGTCTTTATCACACTCAGCGCTCCAGGCATGATTACAGGAGGCATGTTCTCTATTTGTCAGCTTCCTTGGTTATTGCCTGTCTCCCCTGTTAGAGTGTAAGTTCCATCAGGGCAAGGGCTGTGATTTATCACTCAATCCTCAGTCCTTTTAACAGTGCCTGGCACTTAAACAATCTTTATTGAATTAAGAATATAGAAAAACATTTGATAAATTTACATTAAAAGCAGAATTGAAACTTCTGTCTTATCCAAGAAAATCCTGATCATGACACCTGTTAAAAACAGGAATTGAGAAAACATACATTATTGAATTGAGAAATATTTGTGCTATCAAATTCCATGTTGTTTTAGACAAATTTAATGCTATTAAAAATACTAATGATACTGCTGGTGCCATTTTTTCAAATGTAAGTTTATGGGGGTTGAACTCCAAGACATGGTGCTGTTCTCAAAATGTGCTCTTTTCCTTTTCTTCCTTTCTTCTTTTTTCTTTTCTTCTTCTTCTTCTTTTTTTTTTTTCCTGGCAGGGAAGAGGTGATTTTGTTAATCCAAATGCTGAAATCTCAATTCTAGCCCTGATCAAGTCAGACATGAAAATGGGGCTGTGATGAGACCATGTCCTAGGTCAAATACAAACTGTCTTCCTAATCAATGGCAAACAGAGCTAGAAAATATCCAAAATATATGTGACATGGAAAATAGGCTGTTTAGAGCTCATCTCATATTTTAGATATCTGGATGGATCACAAGTTCAAAGTTTCAGCACAACAAACAGATACCATTACAATGAAGTTTGAGAGGTTGGAAAGGTTTTCCCAGTATAAAAAGGAATTAAGTGTTCCAAGATGGATCAGTTTTGAAGGCCGGATTTCCAGGTTTACAATTATCAGTTCACATGGAGAGACAAGTTCACCCCCTTTCTCCTTCTCACAGTGGAGCTTATTTTAAAGACATTGGTAAATCGTGTCCACCAGACTGCTAATGCGTTGGCTTCCCTGCAGTGTAGAAAATGGCATAAGAAAACCCAGGCAATACCGTGTGCTCCTGTCCATCTAACATCGTAGGTTTCTGCTGTTTCAAAACTGTCACATTTGCTCAAATCATGCACTTACTTCTTTTTTCCTAGCAGGTCATTTCCTCACCAACTTGAGGCCTTTTAAACAACATAAATAATTTTTAATTTATGAAAGAAATGTTTATTGTAATTTAGTGTAGTTAAATCAAGAGAGTCAAATTCAAATGCCTTCTATATTATCTTCCAAAGAAAATAAATACAATGTAAAATTTTTTTTAATCTTCAAGATAGATAGGAAAATATTTACTGTTTACCCAAAAAGGGCCTTTCTTGAACTCTAGTCAAGGATGGAAGTATGCTGTGAATTAAAAATCTGATCTGATAAAATGACACATAAATATTTTAGCAGGAATTTTGGTCTTAATGCCCAGGAGATGGCTGTAAATCTGCCTGTAATACACAGCTCTCTCTTGCTTGACAACTTCAGAGAGCCAACTATTTGGGTATTAAAAACTCCTGCCCAGATTACTGTTAATGCTAATCCTGATGGAATTACTTAATAAGTATGATTTTTATCCTTTTTATAATGTCATAGCTGTGTTATATTACACTGTTACATTGCACGTCTTCACTCTGACTGGGTTCTGGCTTCTTCTGTTGTGCACGTGGATAGAAATTATGGTCTGTTTCTCATGAAGGTGAGTTTAGTTCCAGTTGAGTGAACATTATAAAAGAATTATTTCCTTTTAGTGAATTATTCCTTTTCAGTGTTGTGCCCATGGCCTTAAAAGAAAAGAAAAGAAAAGAAAAAGAAATCTTTCATTGTATTTAGACATGGAGAAAGGCCAATTTTTTTAAGATAAAAACAAAAAAAATCTGTATTGACCAGCAACAGACTTAGTTGAAATAATTAAAGCTTCAGTCAACAAAGTAGTTAAAGGACTAGGGGTGTCTGAGAATTTTCTCAGTTTACACTCAGCCCATACAACAGATGTTGCTCTAGGAGAGGTGAAAGCGATTTGGACTTCCAGGAACTAACAGGCTGGGATGAAATGTTCACAAATAGAACAACAGATGATTACCAGAGATTCCCCCCTCATCACCTTCCCATCCCACACATCTGGATGAATAAAGAGCTATTCTTCATTCTGTCTTGCTATTTGTAATAACATATGTCCAAATTAGGTTACAGGTTACCCTGCAGTTAATCACCACAAGAAAATATGTTTGGATGTGATGAGATACAAGGGTAATCCACGGTGTCCACGTGGAATCATTGGATTAAGATGCTTCAGAACCTCAGCGCTTCCCTATGATTTTCTCGTCCCTCTTCATACCAGTCCTGTGAGCAGGCAGAAGCCATGATCTCCATTTGACAAATATAGACACCAATACAAGAAAAGAACTGATGATTTTCCAAATGTCACACAAAAAAAGTTCAGGTAGGAAAATGGCAGCAGAATCCAGATTTAAAGACTCCCTGAATATTGCTAGGCCCACGATGGCACAATCCATTGAACTTCTCATTTAAAAGAACATACCTTTTAGAGAACTGACTAGTGGTTACCAGTGGGGAGAGGGAAAAGGTATAGGTAGAGGATTAAGGGGTACAGACTACTGTGTATAAAATACATAAGCAATAAGGCTATATTGGACAGCACAAGGAACATAGTCAGTATTGTATAATAACTATAAATGGAGTGTAACCTTAAAAAATCATACATCACTGTGTTGTACACCTGAAACTTATGTAGTACTGGATGGAGCACATCAACTATACCACAGTTTAAAAAATTACCACAGATGACTCCTCAAGACTTACTTCTCTCAACTGAGCTTTCGATGAGTTCAACAGCAGAAAAAAAAAGGAAATATCTTTATTTACAGGAATAGAAACAGAACAGGCACCCTGGACTAATGTTGGCCTCTTGAATGAGAAGGAACTTTTTTTTTCCCCCACAGGGGACCTGGAAAGTCTTCTTTATGGAATTTTCTTTTTAATTATGCAAAATGTTCTTTTTTAAATTATAATTTGCACAGTTGGGCAATTTAGATTGCTGAAGTGGCGCTATATGCACTTGTCGTTATTCAGGCCCTCATCCTTACACCTGGTGACCGTGAACGCAGTACTCACAGCTCCCCCAATAATTCCCCTTAAATCATTTCTGAGCTCAAGGCCTTTCTTTCTTTCTCTCTTTCTCTCTCTCTCTTTCTTTCTTTCACATTTTTTTATTGAGTTATAGTCATTTTGCAATGTTGTGTCAAATTCCTGTGTAGAGCACAATTTTTCAGTCATACATGAACATATATATATTCATTGTTACTTTTTTTTCGCTGTGAGCTACTACAAGATCTTGTATATATTTCCCTGTGCTATACAGTATAATCTTATTTATCTGTTCTACATTTTGAAATCCCAGTCTGTCCCTTCCCACTCCCTGCCCCCTTGGCAACCACAAGTTTGTATTCTATGTTCAAGACCTTTCATCGATGCTTTATTGCAAAATACCACCTCTTAACTAATAAAGTTGGCCATCAGGACTCTCCACTAACTCTTCCCCTCCTGTCACTCTTACTCACTCATTCAATGAATATTCATTGATTATCTATATATATGAGGCACTGTGTTAGCCCCCTGTTAGCCAAAGTCTTGTAAACCATCCTCTTTCATCCCTAGAGGAACTCTCACTTTTGGAAAGGGAAACTAAGCAGTTATTTAACAATGAAACAAGTGAAAGAATGCATTGGGGGCATAATGAGAGAGCTGTGTCTATATATTTTTGAAAAGTAGATAATTATCTGGAAAATTTTTCTAATATTGAACAAAAAAAGGATTTGGAAAAAAAAGATTTAGGCTTGTTAGTCATAGAAAAGAATCAAAAAAGTACTGTAAGCAACTATACTAGAATGGGAAATGGGTTAAATAATTACAGTACCTTCATAGCTTAGAATATTAGGCAGTGTGAAGAATTCTGCTCCTAATCTCTCTACAGCCTCTCTAGGGGTGAGATGGAATCTTCTTCCACCTCAGCTACCTGTATCTCCGCCAGACACAGCACATGGAGTGTCTGATGAAGGATTCCTATGGGACCGCTTCCTGGTATGGTGAAGCCTTTCACAAAGCCCCTACTTTCTAGTTCCTACCCGTGAGCTTTCTGGGAGTTGTAGTCTGGTTGGTAGAGATATGTTTAAGGAGAATCGGAGATATTCTTCTTCCCACAAAAAATATCAATCAGTTGGAATGAGGATAGTTCCTCAATTTTGGGGCTTAGATTGAATGAAAATCAGAAAAAGTTTTCACTTGCAGACTCCTAAGTAGGCATAACATGATCATTCTTTCATCCAGCTCCATCAGTTTTCTTTCTTTTTAAAAAATTTTTAAATTTTTTTTATTGAACTACAGTCAGTTAAACTGTCAATTTCTGGTGTGTAGCACAATGTCCCAGTCATGCATATACATTCATATATTCATTCTCATACTCTTTTTCATTAAAGGTTATTACAAGATATTGAATATAGCTCCCTGTCCTATATATAAGAAACTAGTTTTTTTTAAGTCTACTTTTATATATAGTGGCTAACATTTACAAATCTCAAACT